GCACTGTGAATCCAAATATGGCAATCGCTGTCGCTATTAACTTTCAAGAACAGTGTCACAATTGAATTATAAGGAATATGTGGCAAACTCAAAATATCCCATATGCAAATGCCGATACACGGCAGTCACTGTAGTCCTGGTGGCCATGGTAACGAGCCCTGTGTTACTAAAAAAACCCTCACTTGGCCAACTCCACGACAAGCACAGCGTCTGGTGCTGCAATCTGTCTCATCATCGGGCCCAACTGGTGCACAAAGCTTTACAGCAGAGGCAGAGAAGGAAGCAAAAACACAGAAAACAAAACATGGTCAGCAGTTATACCAGTAGTGTGCAGTCCAGGTGACTGGATGCTAAAGGAATATTTTTTCAAGATGACTTAATATATTTCGTATTCATTTAAAGAAAAATCCACCTGGCGGAGAAGTAAATGGTGTTGAAGAATTGGGAATATTTCTGTTTCTCAGGCAGTTTGTGAAATGAGTCCAAAGGCAGGAAGGTGACAGAGATCCCATTTGGATACATCAAGTCTGAATGGGATTAGAGAAAACCCAGTGCTGGTTTTAGTTGCTATTTTCTGGAAATGAAACATCAAAACATATTGCATTAAGACAGGAGGTAATACAGTAAATAGCTGGAGCACCTCATTCCCCTTTAAACTTCTCTTAAAGTTGTCCAAAAGAACAAAATGAAAGAACATATAAAAATAGAAACCAACCTTTCACATCACTTTAAGGGTCTTTTTGTCACAGTGGTTTTACACTCTGGTTTTAATCAAAGCTAAAGCTGAAGGCCTTTTAGCATTCATAGTCTTTCACCTTTAATACTGACAGTCCGTATGGCTGTGTCATCCTCTGCATCGGTGTATGTTTGAGAAGTAGTAGGGCAGCCCCGTCTGCTGGACAGGGACTGGAACAATCCTTGCAGATTTGCAAAAGAGATATCCTGGGCGGTCTGTGGATGTGAGAACAGGATGGATAACAACAGACAGACAGTAATGTGTTTAGAGATGTGCGCAAAATGATTCCAGCAATGAAGACAGAAAAAGACAGAAAACCTTGCACTTTTTACCTTAATGGGTTGCCCATTCTGTGTCTTCAGCAGACTCTTGTCATCAGTTTCAATGCCAAAGGACAGGTAAGGACTAGAAACAATGTCTCCCCAGTATCCCCTGATGGCTACTTTGTCTCCTTTCTGTACAGACACATGACCAAAATTAGCTTCCTTCGTCAACTTACTGTTTACAGTGAAGTGAAAAAGTAGCTGGCCCCTTCCTGATTTCTTAATATGGTTTTTCACACATTTGTCAGACTTACATGTTTCAGTTCAGCAAACTCATTTTAAATATAATACAAAGATAACCCGACTAAATACAAAATGCAGGTTTTCAATGATGGTCTTATTTATTAGGGGAAAAAAAACATTATACTTACCTATCTGGCCCTGTGTGAAAAAGGCATTGCCCCTTTTGTTGAATCATGAATGAACTGTGATAACCACATTCTTTAGAAGGCTGAGTTCAATTTCTTCTCCTTCACACTCAGGCCTGATTAATGCCAGACCTGCTGGATCATGAAATCACTTAAACAGAACCTGTCTGTTCTGTTTAAGTGATAGATAGAGCAGGCTTCTCTATCTATCATCTACAAATGGTTACAAAGATTTTGTTTAGGCTTTGGGACTCCAGTGAACCACAGTTACAGTCCTTATTATCCACAAATGAACAAAACATGAAACAGGTTGAACCTTGCCAGCCTACTAAAATTACTCCAAGAGCACATCGATGACTCATCCAGAGGGCACAAAAAACCCCAGAATAGCATCTAAAGAACTGCAGGGCTCACTTGCCTCAGTTAAGGTCAGAGTTCATGATTCAACAATAAGAAAGAGACTAAGCAGAAATGGCATCCATAGGAGCCCCGAGATGAAAACCACTTCTGACCAAAAAGAACAGGCTTTTCTCATGTTTGCCAAAAAACATCTTAATGATGAGTCAAAAGCTGAACTTTTTGGAAAGTTTGTCTGGACTAAAATCAGACTGAGTTACTTTGACAAGCTTTAAACAAGTCTGTTCATACTTAAAATCCTCCAGTGGCTGAATTAAAATAATACGAGGACAATTACTTTTTCAAGCAGGGCCAGGCATGTTTGGATAGGTTTTTTTCCTCCTAATAAATGAAATCATAATTTAAAAACTGCATATTCTATCCACACAGTGTATCTTGGTCGAATATTAAGATTTCTTTAATGATCCCAAACGTGAAACACGTGACAAAAAAAAAAAATCATTGAAGGGAAAAATTCTTATTCACGGCACTGTAGAAGAGCGATGTAGAAAAAACCAATATGTAATTACCCGACTAAAGACTCTTGAAGACAGCAAACTAGGATTAGTTATTTGATAGACGCCTTCCCTCATTTCGAATGCCAGTCCCTGTTCCCTCCATCGCATGTATTGCTGTCTGTTGATGACGCGACACTGCAGACAACCAGTACACAAACATATATTTGAATTTCTTTGTCCAACTTTTTATTTGCAAAATCTCTGGCCACACCAGAGGAATGGGCAGAAACTACTCAGATACCCCTTTCTCATGAAGCTTCATTGTAAGATCCCAGTCAAAGCAGCCCTTCTTGGAGTCATAGCGTGTCCCGAGGTGCTGCCTGACTCGATAATCCCAAGCTTTGGACATGATAGGAGCAGGATGCTCTGGTGATGAAGACCGAGTTTGGATCCATAACTTAAATATCCTGTCCAGTTCGTCTCGCTCCTTAAACTGTAAAAAGTGTCCATACTCAGTGAATAAAATTTGGAAGCTTTTTCTGAATGTGTAAAGCACTTACACTTACAAATTTTAATGATTATGTGCAGTGCACTACAGGTTATACTGAGCAAGCTGCAATGTCTGGCTGTTTAGGTAAAAATAAGCTCCTTCAGCAGATGTTTGTACCTTAAGGAGAGTTGTGTTCAGACAGGCATGCGTTGTCATCGTTTCAGTAACAGACAGAGAAAGTTGTGATGCTACACGTTGCAGTACTTCCTCTGCCGGACTGCGGATTTCTGAGTTTCCAAACACATCTAGGAAAACTTCGGTCTTCTCTAAAGATTTAAAATAAGGATTTAAAAACCCCACTGGTTTATGGACAACAACACATCTTGCTTTAATAAAATGAATAATTTATCCAACTCCCACGTACCATTAATCCCCATGCTGTCCTGGGGAATCAGTGCCAGGTAGAGGAGCAGCAGCTGTCTAGCAACCACCTCCATGTTGTTTTCTATCACCCATATCTGCAGTGTGGCAAAAAGTAGTTATTTGTAGCTCAAAGTATTGTTAGCCATTTGCAGTTTAAAAAGACTTAGGCTCACATGGACACTTTGTTTGTCTTGCAAACCGGCAATGGTCTTTAAAATATGTCGTGGATCTCCACTGCCCACCAGTAAAACATTCGTTTCCCCTTCACATCTTTTAGGGCCTAGTAAGAGAAAGAGACAGGGAGAGAGAACACATATTATGCTTCTGTTGCTGGATAAGGAACCTCAGTACATTTAACCTGACAGGGACAAACTGTAGGTGATAGAAACTGAATATAAAAATCTGGAGAAACAGCTCAGATGTTTACTGATGGACCTGTGATACTGACAGAGTTGACAGAGACACAGTGTAGGATACAGTATCAGATGATAAAACACGACTGACGGATGACACAGTTTGCTGATCCATTGCGTGTATCCAGTACTCGGTCGACTTACCGAGGTTGATTTGTGTGATTTTGAGTGGAAAATATGTCAAGGATCAGACACCATACCTTTCAAATGTCAAATTTCAATCTTTGAACAAATTTCCGCAAAATGTTCAGAAAACAAACTGTCTACAGCTGCACCAAAAAACTCACTGAAAAATGCATTTAGTTGTTTTACAGTCTTTAAATCATTTCAGCCTCATCTTCACTCAAATATTGGCATCAATTCCAAGATCCAACTGTGATAAACACCAATTATAATGTGACAAAAGATTGATCATCAGTGCTATTTTTGCCTCTGTTAGCTGCTGTTAGCTGGCATTAGTGAAACTTTCTTTTAAGCGGATCCAGAATTGTTGGACTCTCATGCAATGTGAGAATGTAATCAAACAGTTTATTGGGAGGAAATGTACTTCTGAGGCCTACCATTAGCTAGCACAATGCTAGTTTATAACCAGCTGGTGTTTTTGTTTAGCTGGTTCATTATCAGCTGTCCAGAGACAGGAGGGTCGCATGTTTAATCTGCTGACGATTAGTAACTGCGGCAATATCAGGAATAAATAAGCATGTTTATGCATATCTTCCTGACTTCAGTTCAGGAGATGAGGCTTGAGAGGAGGAAGAGGATGAACTTTTATTCAGATGCTGATTGTGTTGTCTCTTTTTGTGCTTTCACTTCTTTGTTGAAGTGGATCCCTTCTCAGATAATAAAAAGACTCTTCATATCTTGAGTATGAAGGTGCAAACATTAATTAAAACTTGCCTCCTCAGCACATGAACTCCTGAGAATTAACTTCTTTTCTGTCTCTGATATAAGACATATGTGGCAATTCTCTGGCCACATACATAAGATCAGGCAGAACAGTCCATCAGGATCACTGTATTCAAGAGGCAACATGACATCTTACACTATGTATTTTTAATGCTTTAATTCTTTATTTGTTAGAATTTAAAATAAATTTAGAATTGCACACTAATAAATCTACATTTATGAGTACACCATTATTTTTTCTATTAAAAAAACCTAAAAATAAAACCCCCGACTGACTGTACCTAATTTTGAGATATCACACGTGTATTGTGTATTTATGTGTGTGAAACTAAAACGTGGCTGTCTATTTTTAAATGCACTCAACGCAGCATAATAAATGAATACTCTTGAAAAACATCAAAGCAACTCATACAATCCTTTATCTGCTCTGACGCACGTGCGCGGGCCCACTCATAGGATCCTCGTGCAGTCAAGACTCTTACCGATATGGAGCAGGTCGCGTGCAGGACTGAAGCCCCACCAAGTGATGCAACCCGCACCCTCAGATGTCCGTCCAGCACTCATACTGCAAAGAAAGGCAAACGAAGGCGTGCACCCCGTTGGTTTACGTCAAGACAAAACAAACGGCGGTAGGCAAGGGACCACAAAGCCGTAAAAATATAAAATAGCTTAGTTCAACTAATGCTAACCAACTGCTACAGACCTTTTAAATGGTGCCCTGAAAATACAGCTATTGCTCAAACGCACAAGCGTGTCTCTGACTTTAATTCTGTAACTAAAAAACCTTAGATAATATCAAAAACTGTTTGTTAAACCTCACCTGACCGACTCTTTGACGACAGCTGTAAAAAGTGTGAAGCTGAAAGTAAGTTTGGGTTCTGTTGCTAGGCAACACTTTTGGCTACGTAGACACCATCTACTGGTGAAAAGAACGAATTACACAGTACGCTCTTCTATGAGTGCCTTAATTGTTAAAGTTTATTCATTTTATTAAAAGAAACTGAGCATTAATGTGAAACATTCCATTGTAGGTTTATTTGTTTATTGCACCACAACACTAGAAAGTGAGCAAAAAGGCCCAAAATACATTAAAAAACAACAAAGTTCACATCATTGAGTAATTATGTGAATAAACTCTCTTTCATCAATTTTTAACATAACCTTGCACGGGCCTACACAAGAGATGCACATTTACAGATATGTGGTTTCTAGGCTTATAAAGACAATCACTTTGGTTTATGGTATGAGGTAAATATGGGGAGACAAGGTTTTAATAACAGCCAAATATCAAACATTGCTTGACAGGTGCATATATACACACCTACAGACACACACACACACGCAATAAAGTGTCTTAAAGGAAAAAAAAAATGGAAAGGAGAAAATAAAAATTAAGAAAACTTCGGGTTTAACAACAAGTAGCATATTGGCAGCAGTCACTACTCAGGTGTGACTCTAACGAGGTTTTGCTTTGAGTGCTGCATCTACTTCTTCTTCAGGCAGAAGAGTATGCCACTGGGCTACTGGACGTCTGGGATTGGCAAGCATGTCTGACCAGTGGCGCAGTCCGACTCCTGTAGCTCCATAACCCATAAAGGTCTTTCCAATGGGGTCGTTGCTTCCAAGTTTATCGTAGTCGAATACTGTGATGACAACCTGCACTTTCTGAAAGGCAAAAGAAATACAAATGACCCAGACAAGCTTGTCCACACAGTGCTTGGTGTTTCAAAACTGATTACCGGTAATAAAAGGTACCTGTATTTGCTCAAAGGGGACTTCAAAGCTGAAACTCTCATTAAAATAAGGATTGAGTGTGTTTTTCTTTACTGTTGTCTTCTTCTTTTTAATCCGTTTCCCATTTTGTTGCAGAACAATCTTCACATATGGGTCTTTTGAAAGAGGAAGTGAAGGTGAGTTGCATCATGCATGTCTATTTCAATTCCTTATGATACTTGGGGATTTATTTATTCATTTATTTGACTGATAAAATCATGAGGCCTGATTACCTGATAAACCTCCAACATCCATTTTCTTAAGGTTCTTTGCCTCCATGATGTTCACTGTCAGTTTCCCGGCAGTGGGTACATAGCGCAATGAGATGCAGATATCACCCAGTTTTTCCTGCTGGCATAAAATTTTGTGAAGAGAATATTGAAAAAGGGTTATTATCCAGATGTTTAGCATTGAAGGGTTGAAGAGCTGAAATATGTTTAAACAAAGATACAGTACATCATACCTCCTCCTTCTCACCGCTCTCCAAGTCCCTCCATTGTTGCATTGGCTGACCCAAATCAACACTGTTCATGGGAATCTTTATTTCACCGATCATGTCATGCTTGGAGAATCGATCAAAGTCAAAAACCTGCAACACCAAAGTCTTTCCACCCAGCTCTGCGTATGGAATCTAAAAAGAGGGGGAAAATGATAACAGACATTTCAAAACATACTGCATTGGTATTTTGGGGGGAAGGGACAGGTTGAGGTTGATTAAGGGGAAGAAAAGTCTGAAGAGGAAGTGGAGACTTGTGCCCAGCGAAGCGTGAAAAGCAACAGCCCGAAGCACCAACTCGAGCTGTGACAAAGACAAAACCCTGACAGCATCAAGTCGACAAGTACAAGTAGTACCTTGAAGATGAAAGTTTCGTTGAAAACAGGGCACAGGTTTTTGCGCTGAACCTTGGTCTCGTACTTCTTCTTTTTATCTGGCAGCAAAAAAACTTTGACATAGGGGTCTGAAGTCCCCCCCATGTCCATAGCGGCAAGGTCCTGAGCCTGAAGGATACCCACGATGAGCTTTAGAGGAAAGAGATCAAGTGTCAGAATCAATGTTATTAGAGTTATCTATAAGTAAAGACTAAAACTAGTTGAGAAAAACGTTTTAGGTATCTGGAATAAAAATCTAAACTAAACTGTAAATGAATCAGAATCGTGTTTATTGGCCAAGTATATGTGCAGACACATACAAGGAATTTGGTTCCGGTAGATGAAATAGAAATACTTAAAAATACAGAACTTTAATATATCTGGACAGAACTGATCTGAAGTGGTTTAAGTGGTCAAAAAGAAAAAGGGTAGGAATTTTGACGTTTCCACGGAGGACTTACCTGAGCATCTGTGAAGTTGTAGTCCAAGGAAAACTCCAGTTTACCCAACTTTTCCTGTTCTTTCTCCTCTTCCTCCCCTTCTTTCTTCACCTCCCCCTCCTATGAGATTAAAACACACACACACACACACACACACACACACACACACACACACACACACCTGATTTTCTTGTAGTTCTTGAGCTGGTAAGATAAGATAATATAATACAGTGATAGGCGTACCTTCTCTCCAGTCTCTCCTTCACCTTCCTTTGCCTTTCTGCGGCGACCTGCCTTCCCCTCCCTCGCTTTCTTTGGCTTTTTCTTTTTACCAAAGCATTTCTTGAAAATGCAGAAGATGAAGCATGCCACCAAGACCAGAACCACCACAACAATGGCTCCTACTGCCCACATGGGAACTGCCAAAATAGAGATATGGGTTGGCTCATCAGTGAATGTTATAGAAGTATGGTTATCAAGAAAGTGCTGGAAATCTCTGATCCACCTTTGCTGTTAACATACACAGAACTAACACAATGCTGAAACAACAACCAAAACCTCATCAAACAAATATGAGTCAGAACTTCAGATTGATATCCTCACTTTTCAATTCTCTCTATGGAAGGTTTTTTAAAAGCTTGCTGATCTCGTACATTAAGAAGAGGTTTGAACTTTTTTATATCTTAAAATTACAAAAAAAAAACAACTAGGGAAAGTCACTTTTCCCCAGTGTTCAGTTGTATCAGGTTATTCAGTTATAAGAATATTGTTCAAGGGGACCTATTATCCACCTAATTGTTTTTTACAGTAGTGTGCAAAAGTTTTGAGCCATCCCTCATTTGTGATATTTTCGATTTTGAGCAGCAAGGTCTTGAGCATTAGTTTTCCAGACTTTCTGAAGGACTGTGGACATTGGGTTCTTTTTCACTTATTTTCAGTCCAGTTCTTGTATTTGGGCATTTTCAAACAAATGCCTTTTTGCATTCAAGAAGAAATAAAACTAAAACTAACACAATAGATGAACCAGTGTTTTGTCCACACACATAAGTTAGCAAAGAAGGAATTCTTTAGTTGAATATATGAATGCCAAAGATAAATGCCAAAGATAACACAGTTTGATGGGCATAAAATAGTATTTTTACAGGTTTTAGATGTGTCCTTGATCGAGCACAGCTGATTTAAATGGCTAAATTACCTCCTCAACATGTCTTAAAGTTCTCCAGAAGTCTGATAATGAACTAATCATTTGAGTCAGGTGTGTTGACCCAGGGTCTAAAACCTGCAGGACACCAGTCCTTGAGGCCTGGAGTTCCACACCCCTGGTATACACAAAGGAGGTCAGGAGAGATGTACAAAAGTGAGTGTCCACAGGCCTCTGTAAAACACAGTGGAGGTTCTGTCATGGTTTGGGCCTGCATTTCAACCAGTGGTGTTGGAGATCTTGTCAAAACTGATGGAATTATGAATGCAAAAATGTGCTTGGAGATTTTGATCACCCATGCAGTACCATCTGGAAAGACTTTGTTTTTCCAGCATAACACACACACACACACACACACACACACACAATGGAGCCCTCTCAGTCATGGACTGGCCTCCCCAGAGCCCAGACCTCAACTTTATTGAAGCAGTGTGGGATCGTCTTGACAGAGAACAGAACTAAAGGAAGCAAACTTCCAAAGAAGAGCTTTAAATGTCCTTCAAGAAGCCTAGAGAACTATTTCTGAAGACTACTTAGGAAATTACAAGAAAGCTGCTTAAGAGAGTTCAGACTATGTTGCAGAATTAAGGTGTTCATATTAAATATTACCTTTCAAGCTCTTTAGAATTGTACAAAGCCTGATTTTTGCCTCATATAATTTATGAGGCAAAAAAGTTTATCTATGTTTCCACGTGTTTCAATAATCAGTGAATCCATTTCCCATTTTCCAAGCAACATATGAGTAAATTAGAGATGGCATAAGATTTCTGCACTGGAATGCATTCTTAGAGTAGTGGATGCCTCATTTAAATTTCAAAAAAATGTAATACTGGGCCTTTGCGCAGAGGCTTAGTTTATGTTTGATCTGAAATAGGTCAAATAACTCACAGTTATTTATATGTGATTACCTCATTTTTTCAGACTTTGCTCATGATTGTTTATGAGTATCTGCCACCGTAACAGTAAATATATTTCAGAAAGTAAAAGCAAAACATATCAATTCCCCTTCAGACATTAACATCTGTTCATGAGCTCGGAGACAAAGGTGTAATGCATAATGTCAAAATAAATCATGATTTCTTCTTTTTACCACAATAACTAAAACTTTCTCAAAATTATATTTTAAGCACTATCTATGTTTTGCTAATGTTGTGTTATGTCAATAATACACATGTCAGCATTGAGATAATAACAGTCTGTAAACCCACAGCCACCACTAGTTGCTCCACCAACCGCAGAAGCTCATTAAATGCTTTACTCTTAGCATCATAAGCAGTAGTTCTTCATTTCTTGGCATAATGACTCAGAAGCACGTTGTCGTGTTCTGTCATTGTAGGCATAAACACTTAAACTGTTGACGTTCTTTGAAATCATTCTTTATACCACATCACTTATGTTAAAAAGAGCAATTTAGTGTTGGAAATTTCTCCTTACATCTACAGTAGCTTGAACTTTTATGGAAGACTATGAACATAACTCCTAAACATAACTGGTAAATTCATTGATAAATATTATCCATCTTCTTCTGCTTATCTGGAGCCGAGTCGCAGGGGCAGCAGCCTAAGCAGAGAAGCCCAGACCTCCCACTCCCTGGCCACCTCCTCCAGCTTGTCCGGGGTAACACCAAAGCATTCCCCGGCCAGCTGAGAGATATAATATCTCCAGCATGTCCTGAGTTTGCCCCGGGGCCTCCTCCCGGTGGGACATGCCCGGAGCACCTCACCCAGGAGGCATCCTTATCAGATGCCCGAACCTCCTCAGCTGGCTCCTTTCGATAAATAAATTATAAATCCCTTTGATAAATATAAATTTGACATAATGTAAATTCTGCACAGGGATAGTTTCCTCCCCAATAGCCACATTTAGTTTACGTCATCACTGGTTTATGGATTTCTGTATCATTTTGCAGATTGTGGCAGTAGCTTACTTGACAGATGACTCAGCTCATTCATGAACTTTTCCTTCATGTGGTTGTAGTCGTGCCCAGGGTGATGTTCTGTATGTGAGTGCTCATGGTGTTCTGAATGAGAGTGCTCATGATGAGCAGGCTCTGTTGTTTCCTCCAATTCTGGTTCAGACGGCTCAGCGGCCCTCCGGACTCGAACCCCAGCACCGACCAGCCTCATGTCAGCTGCCAAAACATTAGAATTACTACAGTTATTCACGCTGTTTTTAAGTTGGCTGCCACATTGAATGATAACACAACTTTACATGCATGCTGTGTAATCCCTGTGTTAATGTGTTGCAGGAAGGTTGAAGAGCATAGGACAACTCTAAGCCAGATGCTCAACATGGCTGACCCTAATCCCTCTGTTACTCTCATGCTCTCCTCCATCTCGTGGCCCACGCTTTCACTCCCACGTTCAGCCCATCCCCATTTCTCTCTCATCACTGACTCTGCTGTGGACTGGATTAAACTATGCCTCTACAATATTAATCCAAAACCACAGATTCTCAAAGCTTTAAAAAATAGGGGTTGGTATCATCCTTTGGTTTGCCTTGCATAAAGCCACTGTTTCTGTCATATTGACTGTTTAGAACAATATTTAAATGAGGTTTAGTGGAACACAGGAAACTTTTGGAAAAAAATGATTTTTTAATAAATAGTTATTAAGAGCTGTATTTCCATTTTAAAAGCAAACAAAAATGGCAGTAAAAGTAATTTTTACTGCACCCATTTACTGTGTTTAATAATTGAACATTGAAATTAAATATAACTTAATGGAATTAAATGATCACTGAAGGACATTTATTAAAATTTAAAACACGATGTGACATCTAATAGGAAACTAAAGTATGTAAAATGAAGCATTTGCAATATTAGTGGTCCTTTAACCTCCTAAGACCCAAACTCTTACACGGCATGCATTTTTAATTTATCTTTGATATTTGGGCATATTGGGGCACGATGAATGTAAAAACAAAGAATTACCAGATTTTTTTTTTTAACCTTATTTTTGTTTTTAAGAAAAATAAGAGCCACATATGAGGATATTCGTTTAAAATCTTGATAGAACAGTAGCAGTATAATGTCCTTGTAAGTGGATATCAGGCCCTCGTAGAGCAAAATTGAGTATTTTGGTCTAAATAACCCAAAATGTGATGTCCACATATGTGGACGCCAGGTCCTAGGAGGATAAATTGGTTTGTTCAAAGCCAACAGGAAGAATATACACACACAGAAACACAGCATATTTTTCTCCTCAGTTTAGACCCTTTTTTAAAGAATTTTTCCACTTAATCATAACAAAAGTGTTTGAAATTTTACTGAATATTTATCTTACCTGTCGATATCTCCCTTTAATTTTGTCAACACCAAAAGGAGGCAACTTCTAGTTCGGTGTCTTTCTTGTAGCTTTTCCTCTGGCCTATTGAAGACCCTGCACACCTATCAATCCTTGGGTATGCTGTTGACTAGAACTGGCAGGCTCCCTGCAACCCTTTCCACCAAAGCTAAAGCACTGGCAAATCACTAGAGAAATGTTGTCATTTAATCCCCCCACTTCCCCCCCTCCTACTGATATTAGAAGGCAGACAACACATCTGTTGCTTTACGTCTGACTAAAGAAAAATATAGACCATCATTCACCTTTTATTGTGTTGTAGTTGCAGGGTTGGTAAATTTAACATGTTGAAGTATTCAAAGCTTTTCCTTGCGCCAGGGGAAAACTGTTTATTACACTGATGGCAGTGTTTATCCATTAGACTCAAGAGATTGTAGTACATCCAGCCCTTCACTAATCTCCTCAGCATAGCTGCCCTCGCAGTCGATCGTCCAACAACAACTTGTACTGCGAGTGGATATTGTGCATGTATGTGTGGATATGTAGTTTCCCATCCTTTTAGCCTGCCATTTTACTGTACAAAACACATACACATATTTATCAAACTGTAAACAGTAATCCCCACAGATATTTATATATGCCTTTGTTTTGTTGGGGGGTGGGGGGGCACAGATGAGCATGACATAATTGCCTTACATAGAGTTAGGGCAGGCACTTAAAATAACTCTGCATTTCAGGATATTTTATTAATAAAAAATAAATTTTATGTTGCAATACATTAAACCACACAAACACAAGTTACAAATGTTTTCACACTTGGTGAAAACCTGGGAAAATCTGTGCAAACCCTTGTGGTTTCTTAATCTGTCTGTCAAGTGTTCTACCTCAAACCACTAGAACCAAAATGACACTTGAACAGAGTAAGGCTACGACCACAGGTACACAGGTATTTTTGAAAACAAAAATTTTCCATTTTAGTTTAAAATAAATTCTATCCACACGTGTGGTTTTGAAAAAATACCTCAGTCCACATGTAAACACCAAAAGACGCAGTCAAACACTGTGAAGAACATGCCAAATCCTAACCGTGTAGAAATGGCCAATCAGAAGTCTAGAAGCCTGGGAGGAAAAGAGTAAACAGGGTTTTATGCAAACCTTGAGTACTTCTGAAAAGTTTTTGTTTTTCTGGAAAGGCAACTAATTTTGTGTTACTTTTCAAGTGCCTTCATCATTTCAAATATTAGTAACCAAAGACAGTTATTTTGGCTGTTGTGTAGACTCACAACTTAGGAATGAACAAAATGCATACAGAAAAAATATTCAAACCCAAAGACGACGTTGGGATTTGCGTTGTGAGAGCATCTGTTGAATGGAGAAGTTCACTGTAATGCCTCTGTCTTTCTAAATGGAGTGACAGTAATTGAGTATGCATATGTAACAGTGTAAAAACTGCAGATAGTAAGATCAACAGCATTTTGTCCATATCCACCACTGTAGAAATTCATCTCATGTAAACAATAATGTGACGCACAGCATGACGTCAAGGTGCACACCTTTGGCATTATGTGACTAAATCTGTTTTCCTCGTCCACACCTAAACGCAAAAACAGAGTTTTCGAAAATCTTCACCATGGCAGGAGTATTTAAAAAATATCAGTATTCAGTGATCGAAAATGCAGTTTATGTGTGGACTAAAGGCTCAAAAGCATAGAAAAAGCTCCGTTTTCAAAAATACCCGTTGAGGTGTGGACGTAGCCTAAGACCCATGCCTGTGTGGGATCCACTCTGACGCAAGTCACATGACTTATCTTTGCAGTCAGATAATTAACCAAGAAGCAGCTTGGAAATCGTTAACCACAAACTCTCCAGCAGCCCAGTGTTAGCACCACCCCACTGGGAGTAAGCATGTGCCCACTGTTATCTCGTGCAGACATGACCTAGATAATGTGCTCAGACATTGTGACGAGTCAGATAACTACCTGTCAGAGCAATTGAAAATAACAGTTACACACGAACCTGACTTTTAAAGACAAACAAGAGATTTGTCAGCATAATGAGACTTTATTGAATGTTTGAAATGTCCATTTGTTTTTGTTCTTCAAAAATTTTTCATTCATAAAAATGTTCTGTGGGTTGAAACATGACAATGGAATGTTCCACACATTAAAAAAAAAAACAAAACAAAAACAAAAAAAAAACGGAATCCACATGAACAAGTTACTCATTGTAACAGCTTAGAAAAACGGTAGTGTTTAGCACCACATTTATGAGAACAATTTCCCCAACACATTTGAATTTCTTTTCTTTATAAGAAAAACTGAGGCATTT